GATTCATCAACACATCAGGTGTGCGTGTTAAATCCGTGTTCTGTTTTGGTTGGCCTGAAACAAGTAAAAATGAAACTTGTATTTCGTTTGTTTTAGATATGTTAAATGTAAGACAACTTGAAAACTGAAAAGAATCAATTAAAGAGGCTGCAAACATAGTGTGTTTTTATGGTGCTGTGATACTGTACATTGAATAATAATGTATTGAGTGCAATGGCCAGCGGTTTGTGTTATTGGTTTTTCTTCTTATTTACGACTCTATTTGTTACACAGAGACGAGATTAAAAAGGAAGGTGATGCTACTGTAAAAGACAACAATAATAATAACACTAACACTAATAATAATTATTATTGAAATATGTAGTAAAAAATATATACATTTCTCTATCCCCTAGGTTAAAACCCAATGGCTGAATGAGATGAGTCCACAGATCCACAGGAAGGATAAATGTCGGTTGCTTCACCACAGTTGTTGCCCAACAAAGAGTGATGAGTAGATATTCAGAGGCAAATGTGGAGGTTATGTTGCTGACTGGTGCTTATCTTATCCTGGGCTTGATTTCTCACACTCAGCTTTCATCACCCCGCGGTAAATGCTATTTTATCAGGATCTCAGATATGCACCAGCGCTTTTTTTTTTTTTTTTTTAATAACTGCCTGCTCTGTACACCAGTGAACAGCAAAAAAGGCCACATACGGCTGAGATGAAAAACAAATCTTTGTTTATATAGAGTGAAATAAAGAAGAATTGGATGCAATGAATGTGCCATATTTAGTTACATTCACTTCTCTCATGTTTTTTTTTATCAAAAACCCTCGAAAACCTAACTTTTGCATTTTGCAGGGATGAGTGAGAGATTGAAAGTGTGAATGTAATATTTAATCAGAGATGACACCTTTTCCTTTTCTCCCTTTTTACTTTCTGCTTCTTTCCAAAACCTTGATGAGACAAGGGCATTTACACCTAGTAACCAGTAGCTGAAGCATATGGTGTTCATCATCAGTCATTTTCTGAACAGAGAAGAAGATTTAGCCGGAACAGTCATGGCTCCACTGCAGCAAAAAACTTGATTCATTGCCAGGCTTTTGTGATTCATCTTGTCCTGTGCTGTCCCTTGATAAATGGTAAAATAGCAATTCATTTTCACATTTCTGTCAAGCGCTAAGCTCACCTGCAGGAAAGAAGTTTTCCTTGATTTCATTGATAGAGCCAGTGCTGCTGTGGGCCTCCCTGCTGGAGCATTAAAACACATGGAATTCATGTTAAGTAGCTTTATATTGAATTGGGTCTCGCAGTCTCCACGGTGTGACAGAGAATCTACTTTTTTTTATTATTATTATTACTCTCCTACAACACTTCATCCAATCACAATGCAGAAAACTACAAAGAGTCTTTTGCTCTTCATATTAGAGTGTTTTGTGATGATTAATAATAATAATAATAATATATTATTATTAGAAGGTCAAGGACAAGGATATGCCGGAGGTTAGCCAAAAGACTGTACCGTCAGCAGCTCTAATTAGTAGTTCGTGTTGTGTATTTCTAATGGGGTTTTATCCGTTCTCTCTCTCTCTCTTTCTCTACATACACACACATACATGTATTTATATATATTTGTATACATATGGAAAATATATATATATAGTGTAAAGAAACTATATATATAGCCGATATATTTATACATATATGTGTGTGTGTATATATATAGTGTAAAAAACGATATATATAGCCTATATATATTTATACATATATATGTGTGTGTGTGTGTATAAATATATATATATATATATATAGTAAAAAAAAGTGTTAAAAGTCCACTAGACATCTTTGTCCCTTAATGGTAGCATAATAAACTATTTAGGTTACATTGTAAATAAAGTAACATTTACATAAGTATTACTACATAAACCTGTACTACATGCCTACTCCACGTCTCAGCAGCTCTGTAAATATTCAGATATTTAAATGCCTATCTTTGTGCCTACTCCACGTCTCAGCAGCTCTGTGAATATTCAGATATTTAAATACCTATCTGTGGGTGTATGGCAATACATCTTAGAAACATGTTTACAGTATCTTTTCAAACATCCATCACCGTTAGAATTCAAATTAAACCATTTCATAGGGATTCACATCCGCACTCACAACAAGTCAAGCAACTGTGTGGGTGTTGTTGATTGTTGTCGTCGCTGTTAAACTGTGCCAGTATTATATTACTGTGGTGGTGGTCGTAATGAGGTGAACAGTAATTGTACGTATTTCTTCTCCCTCTGTTTTCAGTAATTCTCACTGATACACACACACACACACACACAGACATACACACACTTTTTCGGCACATTTGAGAAAATGTAAGAGACATTTGTGAGGAGAACGCCAGTCGATGTGTGCAGATCCATCAGTGTTTGTCTCCCACCGAGATAGTGAGATGATAGATGGGGCTAATGGATTGATTTAAGCCTTGGCTCCCTTTACTGACTGACTGAATAACTGAGTGAATGTCAGAGCAAATGACTTCAGTTACTGGAGTTCACATTTCTACTTTGCACTTCCTCTACAGTCAACTTCATCCATCACTCTGCCTGATTGTCATGTTAGGCTCTCATAAGGTTATTGTGCACGCTTCATTATTCCTTAACGAGAGAGGGATGTGTCACGGGCGTGACGTTTTTGCTCCATCTGTGTTCATTTTGATGTTTGAAGTGAAAGACGTTTCACTTTGATGATGAAGAATCAGATGAAGCCGATTGAGTCAAACAAAGGAAATACTGTATATGGATGATACATCCATGGTTAGTTTGTTGTTTTAGGATGAGCTAATCATATGTTAATTTATTGATGTCTGTAGATAATCATCACAAAGACAACACTTAATCCAAAGTGAATTTTTCAGATTAATTTAAACCCACGATAAATACTGATTTATTGATGTTAACTCGATTAAATTAGTTAAATTAGACAGTGACAAATCGCATTTCACGCCAAAGGCAAGAAAAAGAACGGGTGAGTAGAAGACGAGAAAATGGGCGTCAAATTGTTTACAGGTCCACACAGAAGATTCCTTTATTCACTCACCTTTTATTGCTTTGTTCTGTGAAGGGTAACTGGAGCCAAGCCTGGCTGACAGTGAGTGAAAGGTGGGGTAGATATGAGCAGGCAGCCAGTCCATCACAGGGTTTTATATAGAGATAAACAAAGATTAACACGTGGTAGGTTTACAACGTCTGTTTCACAGAATTCACAAACTGCATGTTTTGTTTTTCCAACTGTAGGAAATTATCACAGCACTGGTGGCAGTATTTATAAACTCCATGTTTGGACTAGATCTGTCCAAACATGGAGGTTAACCATCGACAACATGCAACTATGATTTTAATAACTAACTAATAGTTAGTGTTGGACTGAAGTTCAGGAGCAGAAGTATGGCTGAATGAATGACTTCTTTATGAACAATGATAATGTTATGAATGTTAATCAGGCTGAATCCCCCATCACACACAACAGTAGCAGTGAGTCCTCCATAATACAAAAATGTGTTTGGGCAGAGACTAAGTAGACAATTGGTTTCCCATGCCTAATAATTAGCCTCTAAAGAAAAAGTGTTGCTTTATGGAGGTGATTAGTTTAATATGATCACAAAAAAGAAATGGAAAGAAGGGCTCGACTGCTGTGTACCTGCCAAACAAAGACCCACATGTTCCTGGTAGGGGTGGACTACACTGGGAAGTTTGGTACTGATCCGATACCAGGACTAGTGTCGCGAGTACCGATATTTTTTTAACTTGGAATTATGTGATCATTTAAAAATGTTGTGATTTTGCCTTTAGTTAGTTGGATAAAATTCAGGACAAAGATCGTTAGACTAAAAATGACCATATCGCTTCCTGCTACCAAAATTGTTCACGAAAAAGTCACGTGTGCAAATGAACAAAAAAGCAAAAATAGCAAAAATATAAATATAACAGTGACAACGACACAATAAAAAAATACTTAGCAATACAAGCAAATATCCAGGGGTATATTTGCTGTACTTATAGAAGAGAAACTCCAACATAAGTATCGACCTCATCACGCTAGTAACGATCCGACAGCAATACTCACCTTGGTATCACTACCATCGATATTTAGACTGTTATGCCCGCTCCTAGTTCCTGGTAGGGGAAGGCCACCATTGGTTCCTTGAATGAAAACATCTGAGTGAAGTGGAATAGATCTCCATTTATTTCAAACGGCAGCGTCTTCAGATATCACTACTCTTTTACCACCGGGACCTTTTATGCGGATTCAGTTTGGATTTAGTTTGACAGTAAGACATGTTTTTTCAATGTTTAGAGAGAGATTTATTTAATAGTTTTTCAACATTTTGAGTTAAGGGGTTAAACTTTTCAAAGTATCTGGTGGTAATAGGACACAGTTTACTGCTTGCGTCATGCAGCTGGTAATTGTCGGTCTGTCACTTCAGACTTTGATAAAGCTTTTCCTGTCTTTTGTTAAACCAAAGAAGAAAAAAACAGCCTTTGGGGCGATCCACTGAGGTTTATGAATTAAACATACAGGTGCTGGGCTGAAGGCAGGTAGATCAAACTAACTGAGGCTATTGTCAGGAGTTTATGTTGATGGCCCTAGTTGGATAAAAGAAGATGAACTGAAAACAGTAAAACAACTAAAAAAAAATGATCTAGAGCATATGTATCAAACTCAAGGCCCGGGGCCCAAATGCGACCCTCCAAGCAGCTTTGTGTGGCCCACGGGAGCATTGCTGAGTATTGCTGGTGTGGACCCTGATCTAGCGGGACAAAGACCCCTGAAGTCTTTGTGATGTTTTGACATATTTGATAACAATGTCATTTGACCTTTCGTAATCAGAGAGAGAAAACATTTGTGGTTTTTGATGAATTTCACCCAGTAAATGTAAAATCTGATCAATTCCACATCGTTCTATGACTGTTATGACTGTAATAAGGTCATTCTGGTTGTAAACATACTTCATTACTGACAGGTCTGGACTGCAGGCCTACAGGTCTACAGTGAAGCCTTGTACGGTCCATCCTGCTGGAAATATCATCAGAATTTCAAACAAATGAAGTCAGCGCCAAAGAAGTATGTGTCTCTTTGAAAATCCAATATAAGCCTCAGGATCAATGCTTTCTTCAATCTTTTCAAATGTACAGATCACCAAGTGATGCAACTTTGCCAGTACCAGTTAGCATAGTCCTTTTCATCTTTTCATCTATTTTTTAACGAAAAAAACGTACATTATTCCTGCACAAAATTGATGCGTTTGAACTTTTGATACAGCTACGTTTCGAGTAGAAATACATTTTCTAGGTGTTCCTATGTCCTTATTGCTATATGCATCATTTTAGCATGACTTTAGCATTAGCAATGCAATGCTGCTGTAAGACCCAAACCTCGGGCTCACAGTAGCAGCGGCTCTCACCAAGGGCTTTCAATTCATCTGAAGACTTCTGGCAATGCAATGCTGCTGTAAGACCCAAAGCTCGGGCTCACTTATTACTAATTATTTCACTTATATAATGTAGTTAAAGAAATGAGTCCGCTACCCTGGGTGACAAATACTGTAGTACACAATAACCAATCCTTGCTTGCTCCCTCCGTATTTACTAACCTGTCTTTGGAGCATTACCACTTCTCCCTGCACTCATCTTCCTTCTTCCTACTAACCACACATTTCAGTGTCATCTGCAAACATAATTGTCCATTGAGTTTCCCAGCACATGCTGTTTTACAGCCTTATCATCAGCACTACAAATGGAAAGATGTCAAATTTTAATCCGATGTAAGTCAAACCCATACCTGAAAGTCACGTGACACTTTAAAAGAACTCTATACTGTCCTACACACAGCTCACATGTTTTTCTGCCACTCCCGAGTGTCTCATAAAATCACATTTTCTCTCTTGCCACTAAATTCCACAAATCGCAGTCCAACTCTTCTGTTTGAAATTTAAATAGTATACTTGCTAGTACTGCAGCAGTAATGTCCTGTTGTCACACTTTTCTGATCAGCTAAACTTTGCTGTTGGAACCTATGGGGCGTTGTGCCATAACGTTAAAGTTACACCCCATTACAAATAGAAAGATAAAATGCTAAATAAACAATGTCAAAGTATATATTTTTTAAATTCTCGATGAACAAATACAATGTACTGTGTATAAGGATACAGAAACTCTGCTACATTAACTTCCTGTGACACAATACAAATGACTGAATCATCCTATATGATTCTATTTTTAATGAACACAACAGTGTCATTAGTTCTGTGTCTACAGTTGAGCTTTTTTCATAATTTGTAACTTTTAAAATATGAATCAGTGTCTATCTTGTTCAAAAAATTGGAAATAAATTATGAGAAATGAGTTACTGATGTCTAGCTAGAAAAAACTTTATCTGCCCTGACCTCTTTTACATATAGCAAATGAAAAAAGAAGTGACTTTAAATACCTCTGTTCAAGTCACACCAGTCATGTACAGGTCCCAACAACATCTTATCAGTTACTTGAAAAAAATTACACCAGTCATGTACAGGTCCCAACAACCAGGTCTTATCAGTTACTTGAAAAAAATCAGAGGAAATTTGCAGTTGCTTTAATTAACAGCACGTCAAAATAAATAACAGCTTGTAACGTGTGCAGTTGGCCACTGACGGTGAAATAATGTTTTTATGCAGATTCCAGCAGATGTGGATTTTGAAATTGGATGAAAGCATGGGGTTGAGACAGGTGCCAGGTGGACGTCGGTGGAGGATGTGTAAATTTAGACAGTGCCCGAGCAGAGCAGAGTCAATACCCCTACATTTGTGCATCACCAAACACCTCCTGTTGAAGGCACATCCGTTTTGTTTCCATATTCAAGCATGTCCTGAGGTAGAAATGTCACCTGGGCTGAAAGTAGTGCATCAAAGAAGGACAGAGAATTCTTTGTATTATTTTGGCAAGGTCAGTTTCCTTTTTCTTGACACTAACGTCCATGTAACACTTGGACGTTTTCACTCTGTGCTTTGTCCTTGCTTTGAAAGAAAAGGCCCGGCTGATTGGAGAAGACAGGTGACTGTTTGAGTTTGGGGTGAAGCCAAAGCCAAAGCATTTTCCTTCACAAGGACAGTGGTGAAAGGAGGGCAAAGGGTGCCATTCCATCTGTGGGAGGTACAATTCACAGTGGCAGACGAGCAAAACACCTGGGCTCTGGAGTACTGATTTAAGACCTTGACGTTTACTTAGTTTTACTCAAGTTTTTTGTTTTTTTGGAATTTGCAGACTCACTGTTAGAAGGAGTCAGTGAGGGAAATGTGTGTTTCCTGCTCTCAGCATATTTTGCATGTTAATTACTGCCTTACATTTCCCATTAAGACCTGATACAGTGCACTGCACTCTGCATAAAAAAAAAAAAAAAGACGACGAGAAAACTGTAAATAAAGTGTTTCGCACTTCATTTAGGAATATTTTAGTGACGGGTGTTGGACAAAGTTATTAGAAGAAAAGGGAACTTAAATATAAATATATGAATAAAAATGTTGGTTGTGGTTTTATCACCTTTTATTCATCCTGTTTTACTATAAGAGTTAGGGCATATATTTTCACTCTTTAATCACTTATATTTACAGTATTTAAACCCTAATTTAGTAACATTTGTTAACTAATTAGATACTTGTAATTCAAAATGGGGAAAATCTTTTAATGATTTAATATGCAATAAAACGAATTCCGCTTTTTTCTCTGACTAATGTAATGCTACTGATTTAAAATGAACTGTTACAGAAGTTGAAAAACACTGGTTCAGATATAATAGTAGAGCAAAAAAAATCTTGCTGAAAAGCAGTAGTTTAGCCTTTAGCATTTGTCACTTCCCCACGTTTTGAGCAGCATGCCTGCTGGGCTGAGATCACAGCTACTTTATTTGATATCAGTGTTTGAAATGTGATGTCAACACCGTCGGCCAATTATTAAAAAAGTAAATACGTACGCTTTTACACTAATAGTGTACACAATCTCTAGCCGCTATGAATTCCTTGCTAGCTGAAGAGGTCATTTTCAAGCAACAAGAAAGTTAGCAACACTGCTAACGCTACAACCAAGATATTACAGTGACAGCGGTGAGACACGCCCACTATGAACAGCAGATAGACGATTGGCTCGGATGGCGTCATGTGCACTGAACCCTTGTTCTGAGCAGCTCACCTCTGAGTTCACCTCTATTTCAAACCTGTCTCATTCAATTGCCTCAGACTGTTTCAGGTCCCACAATCACCCCAGTCCGCGAAAACCAGCGGCACCGCACCATAGATATATATACCATAGAATCTACAGTAAAGCTTCACCAGTGAGAAGGAACATAAATTACAAGGAGTAAAGAATCTGTTTACATCAAAGGTACTTCATGCACTCTCCGTGATGTCATGGCTGACTGGCACTACATGTAAGATGGATGACTTTCTCCCAAAGAACCTAGAGGAGTCAGGAGGCACATCAATCGTAACAGCAGAACGACCTGATAAAGATGACAGTGTTGAAACACCAGTGGCTATCTGTAGATGTAAGTCTCTGTGGGTTAAATAGATTTTAAAGATCTTATTAGATGGTAGTTTATTGACAAAATGTTGGAGAAAAAAAATTCTGGCACCAGCAAATTGGTCAAAGGTTGACGAAGGACAGTGAGATAGGACCAAACACAGAGCGATAGATAGGCAACGTCAGCGATCAAGTGTGTGATTTGTGTTGATGAAAAGTGCGAAAGCATATGTATAAGATTGACACTGAAGGGTCAGCCTCTCTGAAATGTGAATAAATAAACTAGAAAAGAAAAGAACACAAGTCAAAGTTGCATGTGGAGGAAGAGAAAAGGATAATTGGTCTCTGAGGACGTGATACATGATCTGATCTCTGCTCTGGAATGGTTCTGTGCTGTTTTAGAATTTACATTCACAGTAGTGCTGGCACCAAGCCCAGCTTGATCAACTCTCGCACATTTGTACTTACATAACACTTAAGAGAATAAAGACATAAACTCAGGTAGTGCACGTCAGCAGCACTGGAGTGCTCCATACAGTAAGAAGGACATCATTTAGTTGTTGTATATAATATATACAGTATATATACTATATATATATATATATACTATATATATATATATATACCTATATATATACCTAAGTAATTAGACCGGAGGTGAAGCAAGTTTCCATCAATCAACATTAAATCCCTGATTGGTTAGATTTAGTTGACATATGTAATATATATACAGTATATATACATATATATATACCTAAGTAATTAGACCGGAGGTGAAGCAAGTTTCCATCAATCAACATTAAATCCCTGATTTGTTAGATTTAGTTGACTTATGTAATATATATACGTTGACTTACGTAATATATATACAGTATATATATACATATATATATACATATATATATACATATATATATATATATATACTATATATATATATATATACTATATATATATATATGTATGTATATACTGTATATATATTACATAAGTCAACTAAATCTAACCAATCAGGGATTTAACGTTGATTGATGGAGACTTGTTTCACCTCCGGTCTAATTACTTAGGTGAAATATATCATTTTCACACTGGCTCAGTATACAGTATTCACATGCAGTATTCCGTGCTAGTTTTACTCCATGTTTGCATGCACACTCCAAAGTAATACACATTGTTCTCCACCAGTAGGCGTAAACTAATCCACGAGATGAGGGGTTTCAACCCTGAATTAACCGATTCGGGTCCAAAGCCATAAAAATACCACGCTGACAATGTGAATGCGTCAGTTAAGCAATCGCGCAAAATGAACACACACGCACTCAGAGTTGTACTTTAGGTTGTCATCTCCCAGTCCACTGGTTACATCATTGGTTGATACGTTCTGGCTTGACCAAAATTCTGATTGGTCGATTTATGTTAATTTCACCAGAAGGAAAGTACCAGTGCTACCAGTGCTAATAGGAGTGTTTTTTAGAGCATGATTAGGTCAAAAAAAACTTTCATACAACGCAAAGACTCTTTTCCTTTTTTATAATTAATTTAGGCGGACAAAGCTAGCGAGTACCTCCCGCAATTAGTCGATTTTTAGTCGTAATTTCAGGGCTTCAGTTTCTTTGGTTGATTACAGCCCTAGTTGTTCAGCAATCCGATGTACTCGAATTTTCAAAGGCTGATGGGAAACTTTATTTGATGTTGCTTTTGCCCAGTAGCTGTGAGGTAAGTAGAGCAGGCCGTTAACTCAGGGCTGTGACTAAAGGAACTGTGCGTGAATCGAGATTCAAGGTTCTTGATTTTCAATGAACAGTTACCTGATCAAACAAATGATCACTGGTCCGGCTGAACCGTATCGAACGGAATTACTCACAGAAATAGGCCATGATGGAAGCTTTAGTTCCCAGAATTCTCTGTGTCTGGATGAAGCCTCTGGAGGCCAATTCAGATAGAGTGCTCTGTGTTTTGGGCCAGACTAATTTTTTTAGTCTATCATGGGGAAAACTATGCCTTAAAGCAGCAAAGCTTTTGCAACAGTCATTAACAAAATTGCTAAAAAGAAAAGGTAATAAAATGCAGAGACCATTTGCGATGCTACTGTATGTATAATTTTCTTTTATCTCAGCTTCTGAAAATTAGTACGCCGTGACACGTCCCACATTCTCCCACACATCATCGTTCTCCCATATTTTATTGATTGCGACCCGGTCACACTAGATGCGTGTCAATTTGAAAAGTGAAACGTCCTGTCTGTGGCTGACATAATAATAGGCTACGTTGAAAAAAGACCTGCTGGCTAGGACACTGTACTGCATGCTTCAGCACTGCTGCACTGTTTGATTCACTAGAACTGGATCGTGCTGTCATTTTATATTCTGAGAGATGAGGGTGGAATGTTTGACTGATGCTTTGGTGCAGAACTTTCCATTAGAACAAAATAAATCTGTGTTTTATTTAAGGTAATTAAAACATCCTTATTTTATATTTATAATTTTTAACAACAATTTTACACATGAATCCAGTTTACGTTACGATGCCAGCACCATTCATATTATTGATGCATTTTTACCTTTTTTTGTACTTGGGGAAATGTGTTGCGGTGAATTCAGCCTTGGACTCTTCACCGTGGCCCTGATGATCTCTGAGGTGAAAACAACATCTTTCAAAATTCAATAAAAGACAGCATATTGAAGCAAAAGTGCTAAGGGAGCGTGTGCTAGCATGTGTGACGGAAAAACAGTGTATACGCTTTATGAAGAGGGAGGGAAGGAACCGGGTGGAAAATGTGACATTTGATGCACAGCAGCATCAGAGAATTTATTTGCATCATTTTAACCATTTAGTACCATGTTTACAATGTAGCAGCTGCTAGCGTGAGCTACGTCATGTAACGCTAACCTCGCGCGCTTTTCCGTTAGCAACCTAAGGTTTGTGGCAGTAGGACTGTGACAGTAACTATAGCTCTTCAGTAACTTACCTTTCTGTCTGTTTATTTCTTCTTCCTGCATGCGGCCAATTTCAGTGTATTTTATTTATTCTTTAATTGGACTTCAGTGCATTTTAAAACGAACTCTTATTTATGCACAAGTCAGTCAGTCCATGTACAGCATAAATTCCTTGAGGCAGTTTTTTTATCTGTCAGTTATAACTATTTATCCCTGACCTGCATCATTATTCCCACATCTGTGGGCGTGTTCTGTGACATTCTCCATTTGATCTCTCCTCTTGTGAATATATGAATATATTGAGGTTTTCATTTAAAAACTGTTTTACTTTTCTGTCTGTGTGTATTTGGTCCTGTTGTGGATTTAGACTCTTGTTTTTTTTTTCCCCCTCTGGTTTCTGAGAACTTTAGACACCTGGCAAAGAAAATCTTGATCTGAATCCTGGCTGTGGTGTTCGACCACTGATTGGCGGTTGCCCTAACCCCGAGGGCGATGTTGCACCAATCACGGAAGACAGCTAGTCCCTACCTTTCCATGAATGTCAAAAGCTTCAGGGCAAGATTACTGGAGAGGCTTTGAGGGAATCCTGTTAGTCGATTTTGACATTTGATTTCCATTAAACACAAACATTTTTTTTACATCTCTTCAGACTTGAGGAGAAAGTTTCTATCATGCCTGACATATTAATCAGATTAATTTGAGAGGAAGTGTATCCTACAGCACTGAGAAAATGTGCTTTGGGTTCTCCTGGTCTTAATTTTGTGACTGAATAGTTAATGAGTTGAGTAAATGTACTTAGAAAGAAATTACTGTTATTAATTGAAAAGCATTTCTGCTTCGTAAAATGGCCTTTTAACAATGATTGACAGATTTCAAATAAATATTTGAAACTCTGTGAATCAGTCATGTGGATGCCTAATAGAAACAGAGTTTAAGTAACTGTTGACACCGTTATCCGCTGACCAACTTTCCGTTGACTTTCTACCCCTTGACGCTGTTATCAACCCCTCACTACATGAAATCAAAGAGTGAATGGGTTCATTATTCTCCAGACAAACAGTGGTACCTGACAAGAGCAGGAGAAAACCTCGGTTTGATTAAATATAGTCAGATATCTGAAGAGGCTTTATTACTAAGTCACATGTCTCTGACCCCACGGTGTCGAACCTGTTGGATTCATACTGCACATTATCTTCATCATCTTTGTACGGTGTCCCATTTATTTAAGCATTAGTGTTTTAGAGTTTTTATATTCGATACGATACAGATATTAATACTTTGTGTGATTTTTTTTTTCCAACACATTTAATATACTGGCCATTTAAAGCTTAAATGTGTATGTTTTTTGACATAAGTCATTAAAAATGAATCTACTTTATCTAAACCCATTGTAGCCTAACTAGCTCTCCTATGGTCATGATATTGTCATGTGACTTGAATAGATCAGTTTATGTTTATGTTAGCCTTATGTCAGTGTTGATGTTTGTATATGTAGTATGTCCCCCTCTACCCCCCCCCCCCCCCCCCCCCACACCGCGAAAGGTGTGGAAGCGACACTTGCTTTTTTTCATTAATTTGTATTGATACTTTATGAGAGTAATCGATACTTTGACTGACTGATATATCAATACCAAGTGAAGACATGTATATTAATGTCAATGTCAATTAGTTAAAATTAAGTTAAAATTAGATTGAAACTGTAATTAACGACACAAGTTACAGGTTGCTGTAGAAAAACCAGACCAGTGATGTCATCAAATTTAAAATCTGTTCTAGTAACTCCACTGAAGTTTTAGTCAAAAGGCAATAAAAGAAAGACAAATGTTTTACAGTGTTTTAACTGGCAAACTCAATGACACTGACTATTTTATACTGTAGTAAAAATAGTTCAGTACTTCAGGCCCAGGTGGGCTCTGCCTCACAACTGTATTCTGAGTACTGCGTGTGTGGACACTGACTGTAGTCCTACAGTACAAACACGTACAGATAGTGAAGGCTAATTGTCCACTCTAAGTTGACCGTATCTGTGTGTGTGTGTGTGTGTGTGTGTGTGTGGCTGTTTGTCTCGATGTACATATGTGTGGCCTTGTGATGAATTTGTGAACTGAATACTTGCTAATACTAATACTACTTAATACTTGACCTGACTATTTCTATGTGCAAAATAGTCCAAAGACTGACAACTTGTTGCCTCTCAGTTAATGTTGTTTCCAAAACGATACAACAACAACAACAACAACAACAACAACAAAGAGGTTAAAATAATAGACAATCGTCCCACTGTAGCATCACACCGCTCCAGTAGATGGCGCCCTGGCTGACCAACAGTGTGGCCTGTTCCAAGTGCCGTGTATCGTGACAGATCTTGAATCGTCACCAACGTCGTCTTAATGGAATGGAAGTCTGAAAGCTTAACATTGGCTCTGCATCACAAATACAAAGAAAACAAACAGCTGATTCCATCTGTGCTGCAGTATAATTCTGTCTCTGAGCTTCTCTGAGCTGACTGTTTACAATTCAAGCTCACATTTACCTTGAATATATATATATATATACATATATATATATATATATATATATGTATATATATATATACACATTTTATG